TCCGGTACCAGGAACCGAACTCACGACCTTGCGCTTGCCAGGCAGGTGCTTTTGCCGCTGAGCTAAATCCCCAGCCCATGCCCTTTATTTTTAAAAATCCCAATTAATGAACCTTATCTCCATAATATATGGGGCATATCCACAATTTTCACAGTTCCATATCCAAAACACAGAAATGTAACACAGAAGAAAATAATTTTCTGGAACTTTGGAAAATCCCCTTAAAGCGTCTGAAGTATGAAGCTCTTGACTCCTAATGGCAAATTTATACAAGAAAAAAATCTTAGCCATTGCATAAAAGTCACATTTTCACAGATTCTTCAAATAGTAAAATATTATTCATTCACATCTCAGTTTTTTTCTTTTGGGAATAAATATAAGAAGCAGATTTTTAATTTTGAGAACCATCATTTGTAAATTTCCTCTGATAATCCATAAATGTTAACACAGATGGATTTTAAATATCTAGTTCTAATTAAAATAGGCTCTTGATGTAAATTCTAAAAACTTTCTTATGTTACCAAGTCCATTTAATTTCTGTCTTTTCCTCCTTCTGTTACACCTCCTTCCACCAAGCCTATAACAATATTTAACATTTCTATTCAGCTACTATCTAAACAAGTGTAGCTCTCTTGAGATTTAAAAGCTATAATTAAAAGACTTAAAATAAAGATTGTCTCAGTGTAAGAACTCTAACCCTATAGTTCTAATAATCGATAAAGACAGAAAAGACAAAATGTGAATAGGTACAAAAAAGTATTAGGACTACGGTCTATTGTTAGTGGGAAAATGCAATTTTAAATGTCTGAAAGGTACAATATACTTGTCAAGACATTTAGAAGTAACCTGGCTATTTCCACCATACCAATAAATTTGTTCACATTAAGTAATTATACAGTAGGAACTAAAAAGTAAGAAGATGTTAAAGAATATAAAATGTTATGCATGCATCATGAACTTAATTTGGAATTCTTTGTGTTTCATAAAAAGTAGGAAGGTCAAAAGGAGGTGGGAGGTGTAAGAACTGAAAGAACTTCAATCGATAAAAGACATGAACTGCAATTATATTCCTATGCCCTATTTAGAAAAACATCTTGAAGTCATCCTCCAGTGTTAAAAAAAGAAGTATTTGTTGACTACATTTCTTATCTTTCCATTAATTAGTTATGCCTCAGAATTTATTCATTAAACTTCTTAGCACTTTTGACACAGCAAAGAATCATGTACCTTCCAAGAGCCTGTTTGGAGGCAAAGATCCAAAAGAATAAAATTTCACCTGCTTTTGGATTCAGAAATTCCAATTAATTTTAAAATGACCTCCCTTCTCTATTTTCAACTGGCAAAAGAATAAGTGTGAGCTAGCAGGGCCTATCAAGTAAAGGTAAGAAAACCTACTCTACCTACTCATTAAGGTACAACCCACAGATAGACAGATCACAGTGTACACCCTGATAGTTTTGCTATGTTTCTTTAAGCTTGAAATTGTTTCAAAATTAAGCTACCCAAACCAAGAAGAGGAATAAAAAAAGGAACCAATAAATGACCAAGAAACAAAAGGACAGGCCTTACAATGTCAAATGTGAAACTGTACATTGGTATTTTTCTCTCCTTTCTTAAACAACTGTTAAGCAACCTGAATGTTAAAAAAATCCTAATTTAACTGATTCCTGGCTGAACCAGATTTTCTTAGAGTCCAACAGAAAGAAAATAAAAGAAAGAAGGTTATCAGGAAGGTACCTATATAATTTAACTCATTAAGTCAAGGTATGAAAAGTCTCAGAATCCTATTTTTTTTGAGGAAGGAGAACAAAAAGCACACTCAAAGAAATAAAATGTGACAGATATCTGATGAGACTGGTCTAATACCCGGGGCCTCTGTGTTCATTTTTACTGTTACTGGGGAAAACCAGTTACCATTTTATTTTAAAATGAAAGCAAAATGCATTTTGTCTGTCTTGCTGAGCAAATGATTCCATTTTACCAGACCCAGCCCAGAAGCACTGTACTCACGGTTTGCCCCTCTTTTACAAAAGGAGTTACCCAGATACAGCTAGAATGAAGAAAATAGGGTCAAACAAATGCAATAAGTCTACAGCGGTGGTGATGCATGGTGACAGCACTGGCTTTCATGTAATAGAACAATGTCAGCTTCTCTATCACCCCTCAATAACAGGGACATTAAGGAAAACAAAATATATTTTTTGAGGCTGTGTCTTCTCTGCCTCTTAAAGCAGGAATAGTTGTAGTGTGGGCATGCTTCATTTTACTACATTGGATCATCCTGGTGACATATACACATTTATGAAGGATCATATACACTTTGTTATACTCTGGCAAACAAAAAGAACAAGTTCTAACTAGCACTAATCATACCCAGAGTCCTGATTCTAAAACATTATTTTCTTTTTCCTTTGTTTTGTTTTTATTTTTCAGTGGCAGATATAGAACCCAGGGCTTCATGAATGCTAGGCAGGTGTTCTATGACTGAGCTATAGCTCTAGGCCCTGCCAACGTATTTATAAAAAAAAATAGTTTCTAGAAGAAGTTAACAGTAACTGCACTACTATCTATAAACACTTAAGGGAAGGTTTATAAACAACGGTGTTCATTCATCTGCAACCCTGAACCATTTTCTATCACTCACAATCTTTACAGAAAGTTTTCCTATGAAAGGTCACTTCTTCTCAGCTCTGAATTTTATCTTTTGAAGTAATTGTGCTTTTTGAAATCAGTTTTTCATTTTTGTGTTGGATTTGAAACCAGTTTTGCTTTTGCGGTTTTCTAAAATCTATCAGTCAATCTTTTCCTTATCAGAATAAGTGGCATTCAAGCCACGGTTTGCTGACCTTAGTAGCTAAAAATCGAATAGTTTAAAGATGGAGCTCGTTTTTCATGAAACATAGCACTGATAAATGTGATCAAAATGGACTTGACATCTTGCAATTCTAACTTATTTTTACCTGAGAAAAAACCAAGAATGATTCTCCTCTGACCTCATTATTGCTTCTTTTTATATCTGTGTGGATTTCTTGAACCTGCTGCAGATATTTGAGCAGAAAGTGATCTAGAAATTCACTTAGAAACTTTTTAACCAAGACATACATCTCACAGTATCCCCAAATACGTAAAACTTTGTCACCTACATTCACTGTCACTATCTTTGCTACTGTTCTTAATTCAGCTGTTTGCTGGGTCTCTGAGTTTTAGAATAAATTCATTATCAGCCAAATAATTTTCCCCATTTATGGAGACAGATGGAAGAACTAGCTTTATAAAACTAAATCTAACTTATTTATATTGTTCTTACTCCAATATAATGGGTCAGACCCATTCAACTCTTTAGCTCCTTCCTCTCGTTACTTAGGTCCAGTGCAATAATACAGAACAATAATATGATCTGTTCTCAAGCCCTAAGCCACTAACTTACTAATTGGGCAAGTCACTCAGCTTTTCTGGACTCTTCTCTAAAGGAAAGGCTTGAACTAGATGGTTGTATACGTCCTCTGAGACTAACCACCTTGTTTACTAACCCAAGAATCACTCCAAAGCCCACTTACATCTACCAACAAAGGAATGTAAAGCAGCTTAGAGTGTGATCAGCTTTAGTCTCAAGGTACTGTCCCACTATTCCTTGAGTTTAATCAAATCTTCACACAGCCCATTAGGCTGTGACCAATACTGATATCCCTTGCTGAGATAGCACTACTAGTTTCCATTAAGATTCATCATCTCATTAGTGGCCCCATTTCCAAAGTCACCCAACAAAGGAAATACATGTTTAGAAACCCAAGAAGCAAAATCTCTAAAACTGTCATGTGTTTGCTACTACATTAGGAAAGTTCACAGTACCTAAAATAGCCACCACCTCATCATCCTGGATGACTTCCAAGGATCCCGACACCACAAAGCAGAGGGCATCCACACTTTCTCCAGCATGGTAAATGAGGTCGCCAGGAGCACAGTGAATGGTTTGGAACTCTACTGCCAAGGCTCGCAGACACCCGTCGCTGGCCAGTCGAAAAGCAGGATGTTCATTAAAAACCTTCCGATTTAGATGAACACAGATATCCGCTCTCATGTCCTTGGGACAGATGGAGAGGACCTAAAGAAGGTGAGAGATGGATATGTGAGAGGGGAAATGAATGGGGCCATTTCAGAAAAAAATCCAACAAACATTGGCTGTGACTACCCGTGCTTCCCACTGTACTGGTACCAGGAATGTTAACAAGACACAGTTCGGCTCTCAGGCAGCTAGTAATCTAGTGAGATAGGATGATGGTCATAGGAACCACTATGATATAGAATCATGCAGTAAATACTTTGAGTGGAAAATAATAGTCCCCATGGCAAGCACACAGTCTTCAGGTTATCAAGAAGAGTCTCAGAGAGAAAGTTAATATCATTTCCGGGGTCATTAGAGCATTAGCATTCTTTTTGCTTAACTGATATTTTAGCATTGTCTCATAACTAAATCAAAATTTAGAATTATGAACTTCTGTCCACATGGGAGGTACACTCCCATTAACCAACTGCAGGAAAACAAAATCAATAAAAGCACCCCGCCAACTCCACATCATGGATGAAAACTACACTCTTGGTGCATTTTCTCTCTGAAATATTTTCCTGTTCCAAACAAATTTATGTGTGGAACAGGAAAAATGTCTTCAGCAGTCTTCTGTAAGGCTTCAGTAATAGGTAAGTGAAAACGTCAGTCTCAGCAGGGCGGACACATCATCACTTTGCACTGAAATCCTTACTCCTTTTAGTATCTGACCCCTCGAGATTGTTAAAAGGCAGTAACAGAATTTAAATTCAAAGTACTCATGAGGAGAGGATCAAATGGCAGATCCAAGCTAGAAAGCAAGGTACAGCAAGCTTTCATTGGCTGTAGCTTTCTGACAGGGGATTTAAATACCCATACTAAAATGGACATTATCATCATTGAACCAGAACATCTTTGAAATAATCTGATTACAGAACTCAGTACTCCCTGCCTCAGAGATACACTTACAAACTCATTTAGAATGCTTCCATGACCCTCTTGGTGAACTGTTCTTTATGCTTTGCTTTGATAGGATTTCAAGTTTTCAAAGTTGAAGATAAGTTGATCCCCCCACACTATATTATACTGCAAAATACTTTAATATAAAGAGTTTCTTTCCTGTGCTAATTTCACTTAATCTTTAAAAAAATACCTATGGCTTAAAATACCCCCTCACTATTCCTTTATCTTTTTTTTTGAGGCTATCCATGAAATAGTGACTGTTCCACTATGGAGAAGATGACCCCATCATAAAGCATAAATGAATTATGCTTTCAGAATCACTTATCTTAACTTTCCCTAATACTGTCCATATTAGTTTATATTATGATCCCTGATTTTTTTCATAACCTCTCAAACTTCCTACAGGCAGCAGCAACCAGCTCACCTAACTTTATGAAGATTCTCATCTATTCGAAAAGGAACACCATACCAAAGCTTCAAAAGCAACTGGAATTTTTTTCCCACGTCATTTATTTTTCATAATAATGTGATGTTTTCTTTAATATATTGACCTCTAGTGAATTTAGAGAGTATTAGTCATTCAGCAGGCACTTGCAGAGCTTCTCCTGTGCATCTTACTATGGTATTAAATCCCTGGAGGTAGAAGGATGCACAAGACATCATCTTTGCTGCTAGAGGAGCCAATCATGAGTACAGAACTTAGTCAAATACTGGGACAGTTACAATACAGTGGAAAAAGTGCTGTTAGACAGGTGATCAGGTAACACCGACACACATGTTGCCTGTGACTCTTTACAGATGACTGGAGCATTAGATCATAAGATCAGCCTCAAAAGGAATGAATGCGTGTTCATATCTATAACTTCCTGACTCTCTGGCCTAAGGTATGTTATTTAATCTCTCATCTGTGAATGGGGAAAATGATAGTCCTTCTATTAGAAGCTCACTAACAAAATGAAGTGAAAGACCATGAATTCAGCCAGTTAAGCTGCACATAGTAAGGGATGAAGAAATGTTACTTTCTAAACATGTGTATTCCTACACTTTATTGTTGCTTTAGTTTGCTACAGAAAGCATTTTTTTCACTTTCCATTCTTGTATAAAGTCTGCATTTCAGCTGTAAGATAAGTTTCTGGAGAGAATTTTAAAAATGTGCTCTCATGAATCTGAAGATAGTCCAATCACTAGTTAATACTAATATTATTCACAAGTTTAAAATGAAATTAGAGTTAAGGAGGAAAAATTTGGAAATACATACCTATATAAACATTACACTAAACAGCTTAATGGAAAAATAAATTGCTCTGATTCTATTTACCATAAAAGACTTTCATCACTGTAGATTCATTTCAGCAATAGTCAATTTCTGTCCTTTTATTTCTTTCACAATTCAGATTGCACATGAACTGTTCCAATATTTACCATCCTCTATGTGGTGGCACATCATAATAAGACTTTTATTATATTTCCATGCATCTTTTTTGTTTAACTCCATTAATGACACAGGCTCCCTTTTTATTTTGATTGAAGGTGCAGATGTATGTCCAAGTGCCACAAAGAGACAAGTTAAAATAGACCCACCAGAATTACACACACTGGCAAACTCCCTCCATCTCTAGACAGAACATAGGCAAGGCAAAATTTAGATTTTAGTGATAGCGTAAAAATATCATTGAAGATACAGCTCACATTTACCTCACTGGTCCACATTCGATGTACTCTGCCTTGACTGTCATATCCAATTTCTTCTGCCTAGAGTACTTTACCAATGGGTCTCTTGCCATTATCAACAAATAAAATTACATGATTACAGAAGAAAATATTAAGGTTAAAGGTGACTTCTGTTTGTCTCCAGAGGTGATTATTGCTCCCCTTTTTTTTACATGAGGATATTAACAACATAGATTCTTAAACAAGCTATAAATTTTCCCTTTGAAAGAGTTCTGGAACTATATTAAGAAATCATTTTGCAGAACTCTGCAAACCAAGTCTAAAAAATGAATGTCATAGTATGAAGATAAAAACTTTTTATGTGATATCCACTAGAATCAAGACCTAGGGGCATCATCATGGATATCCCTCAGTCTCTGAAAGTCTAATCTCAACAGAGTAAGTACAGAAGTCTTAGTAGTAATAAATACAATCACATTATCTCTTCTTTCTTAAAACATCTGATGACTTGCTTCCCCATCCATAAAGCCAAAGCTCTCACTTAACACATATGGTCAGGGGAGCCATTAGGATACACAGCCCCCTGAGCCTCACTACCTTCCCACAATATCACATTCCAGCCACGCAGTCTCACCTCTCTGAATCGGCCGTCTCCTCCCACATGCTACCCTCGTGCCTGCCCTCCCCTCTCATCCTTTTTTCTCCTACTTATCCTTGATTCACCTGTCAAAGCACAGACCATCCCTTTTGCTGAAGAAAACAGAATTTCTACGCAGCTCTATCAAGACTTTAGAAACGCATAAACGTCAAATAACAGTAGGAAGTGTTTTGATTCATTGTTCTATGGCTTTAAAATAGATAAAGATAGTAAGATAAATGATTACCAGCGATTTCAAATGTTACTTTCATCGGTAAAATAATTCTTCAGTGTTTTAATGAAAACTTACCTTATGCCTGATATGTAAAACAGACACAAACTGAATCATGCTACAAGAAACTCAACCCGGCAATACGAGCCCCAGGCCAGGCTCCACAAGACACTCAGACGTAAATCCAACCAGTCACTAAGCACTATGCTGTGACCAGTACTAGGCAGGCCCTCCAGGTTCATCTGTCAAAACTCACACAGTGCCTGCTTCCCCAGAGCTTCCAGTTGGGCACAGATCCAAAAAATCACTATTCTGAGTCCAACGTCCATTCTACAGAAAAGGCAAATGTAACTCATAAAGGCCTTGTGACTTGCTGACATCTGCTGAACAAATAACTAGCAAAATATTTTGAGTTCCAGCTATGAAGCCACACTCCCAAATGGACGTCAACCACGAATAAAATATAACATCTAGCACCATCTGATGTTATCTGATCCACTGTACTATAAGAATATAAATACTGACTTGTGAAAATTGCTTAAATTCCAATTAAATAATGCACCTTCTCTACCACTGAAGAGTCAAGATTTTGTTGGAAATGTGTTGCTGAAATTTTAGATCCAACAAATTTATTCCCCTTTGCTGATAAAGACAAAAGGATTCACTGGTAAGTTTTCTAATAGATCATTACTGTTTGCTAAGGGGAAGTCATCTTATTTGAAATTCAAGTTGTAGTATGTCTATTGATCTATCTATCTACCTGTCTGTCTGCCTATCTGAAAAGGGCCTGAGCTAGCTATATAGAGTAAGCATTTGCTCTTTCTCTCTTTAGATTTATTTTTCTATCATTTTTACACATTAGGATATTAGTTCTACTCTAAAGCCTTAGAGAAGAGGGACGTTTAAATATAATAACTAATTGAGAAACCATAGTTAAATAATACCCTGTAAGGAAACAACTCACTACAAGAAGAAAAGAAAGAAGAATTTACCCTCTCTTTTTCATTTTTTCAACATACTTTCATATAAATTCTAATATTCATTATTCAAAAACTGGAAAATTAAACATCATAAAAGAAAATAAAACTTGTCCATTGTTTATATTTATTTATCTGTATATACTATTTTCATGAAACTAGAATTCTAAAGTTTTATTCATGATAGCATCACTCAAAATCATATCATGATTGGGGGCTGGGGATTTTGCTCAGCGGCACAGCGCCTGCCTGGCAAGTGCAACGTCATGAGTTCGATTCCCGGTACTGGAAGAAAAAAAAAATCATATTATGATCAATTTATGCCATGAAATACTTAAATTAAAAGTGCAGTTTTGGTGACACTATTCCATCATGTGGCTGTAAATTAATTTGTTCATTACATTATCACGATATCAATATTTCCAGATTTCTCTTTCATAAATCAAGTCACAAGAAATATCCTACTGATATCAGATTGTCAAAGCATGGATTTTCAGAGGTAAAATTAGTGGATAAAATGTAAAAATGTCTCAAAAGCCTCTCCCAAATTGCTTGCCAGAAAAGCTATACCAAATTACCC